CACACACACACACACACACACACACACACACACACACACACGGGCAAAACACTCCTACACAGAGAAACCAAGTTTTTGTGTCTGGCTTCTAAACATGTCTATTAACGCCTGTGATACCGCAACATGGGTGGACAACATCACCTGTGGTGCCATGTATTTAAAATGCCTGTGTGCACTGAATGAGGCCCTGGGTTCAATCCCCAAAGCTTTGAAGGTTTACCTGAGCATGGTAATATAGTCCCAGCCTCTCAGAAGGCTGAGGCAGGATGGCTTGAGCCTAAAGTTTGAGGTCATCCTTGACAACATAGTAAGAACCTGTTTCTAACGAATAAGTGCTTGTGCTTGAGTCCTACAAAATGCTCATTATGCCTGGGGTGTTACTGTGAATCATAATGAACTATAGATTCTCAGAACATTTGTCCCCAGCTCTGGAGTGAACACCATCAGGGCCTAAAACTATGGTTTTGGTGTGGTCCTTCCATCATTTCACATTTAAATGTGTTAAGGAGGGGGAGGGCTAGAGAGATGGCTCAGCAGTAGTTAAGAGAACTGGCTGCTTTTCTGGAGGATACAGGCTGGATTTCCAGCACCACTTGGCAGCTCACAGCCACTGTAACTCCAGGTGCTGGGGATCTGATGTACCCCTCCAACCTTCACAAGTACCAGGCACACAGAGATGCACAGACATGCATGCAGACAAAATACTGTACACATAATAAAAGTAAAGACATTCAAAGGCTCCCAGGGTTCCCCTGAACATAAGGCCTGTGCCTGTAAAACAACAAAATGTTAAGCCTTTTTGTTTACTAGTCCTGCCGTTATCGTGTTGTGTTTATATTCTTGAGAACTAGTTTAGCCTTTTGGTTTGCATACCTTACCGAGTGCCTAGAAGATGGTGCTGCTGTACCACCAGGGGGCTGCCACTACCCTTGTGTTCTGAGCCCAAATAACTGCTTTGGTTGAGAACTTGTGGTGATTATTTTAGGGAGCAGTCAACCCACATGGAGCTTGTGGCTCCTGTATCATTTTTAATAACTGTTAGTGTGGTTGGAAGTTTTCCTGTGTCCTGGCCTGCCGGTGGTCGGGACAAGTCTCTCCCACTCGTGTCCCCCAAGTAAACACACAGAGGCTTATATTAATGAAAACTGCCCGGCCATTAGCTCAGGCTTACTACTGACTAGCTCTTACACTTAAACTCACCCCATTCTGTTAATCTATATGTCACCATGTGTTTCATGGCTTTACCTTGTGTGCCATTATATGCTGCTCCCAAGACCAGGGGGCTGGTATCTCCTGACTCAGCCTTCCTCTTCCCAGAATTCTCCTTGTCTGCTTATCCCCCCCTATACTTCCTGCCTGGCTGCTGGCCAATCACCATTTTATTAAACCAGTGTACAAAAGCATTATCCCACAGCATATTAAGGTAGCCCATTATTTTCTTCTCTTCTCCCTTACTGCAGCAAACTTGATATTTCTCTGTATTCCAGCACAACTCCAGTCCCTCTTCCCTTCTGTCCAGCTGTCAGTGGATTTCATGCATAGGCACAAAAGGGAAAGGAGAGAGAATAATAATCCCACTCCTTAGCAAGTCTCCCTCCTGATGAAAATAAGACTTCGTTCCCCAGTGCCTCTTAACCGAACAGCGTCACCAGGTTGGGAGTTGAGCCCCTCCCTAGTCACGGGGACACACTCTCGCATAGAAATGATAATGGCTTTAGTTTTGCGGGTTATGTTCCTTGTGTATCAGATTGGCTTTTGGTGTTGGAGCTAGCACGACATTTTTAAAGTTATATTTGTTTAGTTTGTATGTGTTTTCGTGACATGCTATGGCATATGTGTGGAAATAGAGGACAACTTGGAAGAGTCAGTTCTTCCACCTTGGCATCAAGCTTAGGCTATCAGGCTTGGCAGCAAATGTCTTTACCAGCTGAGACATCCATCTCGACAGCTTCTTCATGACTGAAAAGACATTCTGTTCACAACAGAAAAGCAGATGAGCTGTTGAGAAATAACTCATTCAGCTGGGCCTGGTGGGAACTACTGAGGAGGCTGATTCAGGAAGGTGGAAAGTTTAAAGCCAGCCTGGGTGACTTAGACCTTGTCTCAAAAAGGAAAAAGTTGAAAAGAAAGAAAAGCGCTGAGGATAGCTCAGTGTTGGAGCCCTTTCTGAGTGTGTATAAGGCTCCACATTAAATCTCCAGTACTGAAAGCTAAAACTAACTGGTTACTGCACCAAGCTTTCCCCACAACAGAAGGCAGAAGCAAGTGAGCTTAGCAAAACCTGCTTCTTCATCGGCACACATAATCCCAGATTAAGCCAGCGAACTGTGTATCTGTAGCCTCTTCTCTATTGAGTTTACCCCGCCTCCTGCTAATGTCATGGAAACTCTTTTGAGGATACCTCCTTACCAGGTTAATGCTATTGGTACTTCTCATCTACTCAGAGTTCACAGATGTGCTATCCAAATGAAAGTTAACTGCATGGTAACCAGAGCTGCCTTGCTTGCTGGAATGCATCCCGAGTCAACTGCATGGTAACCAGAGCTGCCTTGCTTGCTGGAATGCATCCCGAGTTAACTGCATGGTAACCAGAGCTGCCTTGCTTGCTGGAATGCATCCCGAGTCAACTGCATGGTAACCAGAGCTGCCTTGCTTGCTGGAATGCAGCCCGTGGAACTGCTTTCCATTCCTGAGTCTTCACCATCTCCTGCTTTGCTTACCATGCGCCATCATTACACAAATGTCCTCCCACTTGCTTTTCTGCACACACTATTCAGTATAAATCCTGAATACTTTGTATAAACAGACCATGACCAAAGACCAGAACAATGGGACATGTTGGTTCTACAGAGATATAATTGGTAACTTGTTTAAATGTGTGGGAGCTTTGTTCTGACTTCTTGTGCTTAAGAATCCACAGTACCACAAAGGAGGGGCATGAAATTTCCACATATGCATCAAAAGAGATCAGACTCAAAAATGGGGTAGAGTGTGGCTAGGTAGAGCCAGACTGGCACCCCCAGAAACTGAGGGCCAAACGGAGGACGTGACAGATGTCAAGTGTGATGGGGTGCAGCCGTACACGACACTGGGCAGAAAGTGCCATGATGGCCACAAGGACACTTGGTTGTAGTTCTGTAGCCCAGGGTGGTCTCAGATTTCTGACAGCCCACCTACCTCAGCCTTCTAAGTGCTAGGATTACAGGTATGAGCTGTGGACCTGATTCCCTTTGCGTTTTGGTGTAGATTTTCAAATGCACAATAGGAAGCAGGAGGAATGGGGGAACAAAGTGGGTCCAAGGTTTCAGTAATGCAGTCAGTAATTCAACAGTTATTCCAAGCACAAGTAACTCCTCAGGTTGTCTGGCTTCTTGTTTTACAATGAATTCATGTTAAGAGATTCTATGGTAAAACACAGTACATGAGTGGATGGGCAGAGCTGAGTCTCTGAAGCAGTGGCAAGATGTAATCTTAAACACAAGCTGAGATTGGATTCTGCTTGCTCTAAGTCACACAGTACATGGTAGGGTCAGGTTGGAACACAAGTAGCCATGTTCCAAAGCATATACTTTGAAGTTCTTACACACGGTGCTTATTTCAGTTGGACAAACCATGCGTTGCAGTGGTATGCGGGGCCTTGAATAATTTTCTGTAGAAAGTTTTCAACTCCTTTTAGTCTAAGTAGGAAAGCCCAGACCTTGGTCCAAACACCTCAGTATTATGGTATCATTGTCTTTCTATAGTAAGTCTTGTGTGATTTGGCCAATGTCCCATAACCTAGTGGTAATCTGGACAGTGAAGATTTGCAGAGGATGTTCTACCTCAAAAGTGAGTTCTCATTTAAGAATCAGCCTTCCTCCTAAAACCACAATTCAGACTCTGCCTTTCTATCAAGAAACAAGGGATGCCTGACTGTCTTCTCAATACAAATCATATTTAGAGATGTCCAAAATGGTGTTGACTCAGTATGTCTATTGTTAGCGAGGAACCTTTTTCAAGTTATTTTATATTGTAGCACTCCCTGGAAAAGGGGGCATGGTGGTGCTTAACTGTTACCCCAGCACTCAGGAGGCTGAAGCATGAGGATCATTTGACCTCAGTAGTGTGAGACTAGTTTGGGCGACAAGTTCCATCCCAAAGCAGGAAGGTAGAAAGTGTATGTTCCATAAAATGGCCCTGGGGAGCAGCAATTCTAGAACTGCTTGCTTAATCTTGGCTTTGTTCCCTGGCACTGAAAAGAAAATTTTCATTTGCTCCAGTTTTTCCTCTCAGAGGTCAGAAGGTGCTCTGTTAATTCTGGAGGCCACAAGTTCTAGAGTAATAAGTGTCTCTCCACCCTGGGAATAATCATTTGCTAACTTTTAGTTAAATCTCTTTCCAGCCTTTATCCCTAGAAAGTTGGAAAGTTCTCATACTACAACCTCTCCAAAAACCCATTTTACTAGTTTTTTGTATCTCTTCCAGATGTTCCTCAGAATGGTTGGTAAGTCATTCTTGCATATTTTTGTAGTGTTTCTGTATATCTTATATAAACAGTTCATATTTGTGAATGTTCATAGCATTCCATTTATGTGAGTACTTTGATTGGCTCCTCAGTTTACCTCTTAAGAGCATCATTGAGAACCTTTAGTTTTCCTGTGATCGCAGAGGGACTCTTCATACACACCAGGACTTTGTGTACCTGAAGCTGTTGAGTCCAGCCTCTCAGGACTGTCATTATGATTCTGTCACTTTTAGCCATCCTAAGTAGAGGATTCCTTCGTAGAGGCTGTTTTCATTTAAATCTTTCTTACTCCACTCTAAACTTAGTATACATCTCATTAATTAATTAAAAGAGAAAACTTATTTTAGGGACAATTTCTTTGTGTAGCCCTGGCTGTCCTGGAACTCACTAGGTAGACCAGGCTGGCCCTAAATCCAGAGATCAAGCTACTTCTGCCTCCCAAATGCTGGGATTAAAGGTGTGTACCACCACTGCCCAACTGCCCAGCAAGAAAAACTGTGTGTGTGTGTGTGTGTGTGTGTGTGTGTGTGTGTGTGTGTGTGTGTGTGTGTGTGTGTGTAAGTGTACTTGTGCATTTGGGTACCCATGGAGGCCAGAGGAGTGTGTTAGATCCCTTGGAGCTGGAGTTACAGGTGGTTGTAAGTCTCTCAAAGCGGGTGCTGGGAACTGGACTCGGGTCCTCTGTAAGAGCAGCAAGAACACAGCTGCCGACTCCAGCGCCTCCATCTCCAGTGCCGCAGTCTCCAGCGCCGCCCCCAGTCTGGTGTTTACTGTTCTCAAAAGTCCCGATTGGAGCCTTCTGGTGGAGGCTTTCCCTCTGAAGACTTTTCAAATATTTTTAAATACTCCCTGAAGTATTTTCATGTTGAATTCTTGAGTCTTTTGTTTGTCTCCTTAACAAGATGTATTGATCTATTGATTTCACTTTATGCATATGTGTGAGCGTCCGCGTGTGTCTCTAGTGCCCCCAGAGGTCAGAAGAGGGCCTTGGGCCCCTAAAACTGGAGTTGCCAAACCTGAGTCCTCTGCAGGAGCAGCAAGTGCTTTTCATCACTGAGCCTTCTGTCCAGTCTCTGTTTTTGTCTTTTGGGAAAGGATCTTATGTACCGTGGGCTGGCGGCCAATCTGGTACGTAATTGAGGGTGACCTTAAAACCTGAACCTCCAGGCAGCAGCCACCACACGCAGCTTCAAGTTGTGGAATACAGGTGGGGTTTTGTTGGTTTGTTTTCTCCTTGTTCTTAAAGTATCTCAGACTGACTTGGCTCAGTGGTAGAATACTTGCCTAACACACAATCCCCAGTGCTACGAAGAAGTAAACAAAAAAGTATCCTGAACGTTACAATAGTTTGGATATTATTTCACTTTCCTGTTTCAGTAGACTTCCTCTATATATCACTCTCAATAATCAACAGGCCTGCTGGACAGAAAACCAGTAATGATATGGGAGTGAAGAATGCCATCAATCTTTCAGGAAATATACATAAAAGATTAGTAAAGATATACTGTATGTCAGACCATACTACAGACCAAAAAAACAAAAAACAAAAAAACAAAAATCAACAGGAATTAAAAATCACAGTTGCCGGGCGGTGGTGGTGCATGCCTTTAATCCCAGCACTCAGGAAGCAGAGCCAGGCAGATCCCTGTGAGTTCGAGGCCAGCCTGATCTACAGAGCGAGATCCAGGACAGGCACCAAAACTACACAGAGAAACCCTGTCTCGAAAAACAAAAACTAACAAACAAACAAACAAAAAATCACAGTTGACCACAGTGAAATGAAACTACAGAAAAAAATGCGAAACCCATAAGCATTTATAAGCGAGCAGAATGCTTCTAATGCCCAAGTCAAGGAAAAGGTCACATACCACAAATATTCTTAAAAGAACTTAAAATGCAATGAATTGCAGTATGTGAGGCAAAGCTAAAGAAAGCTGGAGTGGAGCTCGTCAGCAGGATGGCTCAGTGGGTAAAGAGCATTTGCCGCCAGGCCTGACCGCTGGAGTCTGAATCCCAGAACCCACAGGGTGGAAGGGAAAACCTGAAGCCCTTTGATTTCCACACAAATGTGCTGTAGCACATATCCACACAGAAAATGCTATCTTACTTATTTGTTTAACGTATTTATTTATTTGTTTGTTTAGTGTGTGTGCAGGTGTAGGTTATATGTAGGTCAGTGCAGTTGCCCAGGGAGGCAAGAGGAAGGGATGCAAGATCCCCTGGAGCTAGAGTTACAGAGAGCTGTGAGCTGCCCTATGTGGGTGCTAGGAATTGAACTCGGGTCCTCTGAACAGCAGTAGACACTCTTAACCACTAAGTCATATCTCCAGCCCCAAAACTTTTAGAAAGACTGCTGAGATAGACAATGAAACACTGAACATTTATATCAGAAAAGAACAGACTCAATAAGTTCCTACCTCAATAAACGAAATGACCAAGAGCAAAATAAATGCCAGGCGGCACAGAGGTTGAAATGACAAATATTTTTGAACCTGTCTCTGACTGAATGCTTGTATCTAGACTATAGAAGAACTCACCAAATAACTGGTAACAATTCGTGTAGGCATGAACAAAAGCTATAAGCATACTTCATGGCTGGAGTGTGTGCCCAACCGATCATCGTTTTCTGGATCATTCATACACATTTCCCCTCCATGCTCCTTCATAGATTGCCTTAACTTTTTCCTCTTTGCAAGTTTTCCCCCAACCACTTATCAGCTGAGTTCATAGTAGAAGAAAAGAAAGCAAAAGGAAAGGAAAAGAGAGAAAGGAAGGAAGAAAGAGAGAGAGAGAGATTTGTGCAATCACAGGGTCAAACAGCAACGATCAGGAGAGGATGTTGTGTCCTTGGCGGCAATGTAGACAGCGCAGGTCAGGAGTCGTGTGGAGCTGGTGTTCCTGCAGAGTTGCCCAGAGCATCACAGAGCCCGTTAAAGTGCCTGGGATTGGGTCAGTGATCCAGGGTCACGGGATCACATCCATACCAACAAGCACAGATGTGCACTAATGTTCAATTTAAATAGGAAGCCAGATGTGTATGCTTGTCATCACAACACTTGGAAGGCTGAGACTGGTGGATTACAAGTTCAAAGACAGCTTGATCTATACTGTAGACCCTGTCTCAAAAGATAACAAACTAAGACATCGGGCAACTGAAGTCATTCTACCTTCAGTGAGTTAACCTCCAAACAGGAAAATATACTGTTGGATCAAGTCTCTTCATATCCTGGAACCTACCAGTGAAATATAGGCACAACCGAAGGAAAACACTTCTCCCGCTTCCCCACCAGTTAGCCAAGACTGTGTACTAATATATATATATATATATATATATATATATATATATATATATATATATATAATACATATATCCCAGGGAACTGTCACATACCTTTACCTGTATATCTGCACCTCTTTCCAACTACTGTCCCTTGTTTGGCGTCAAATTTGTGATTGAAACGCTGATACCAAGTTATAAAGGAAACAGACCTGTGGGTTGAAAGTTAACCTAGAGTGAAATCTCCTTGTGTCCCCTTACAGTACATTAAGTTCTCTAGAGGGAGGAGGGATGGAGGGAGAGAGAATTATAAAAAGACTGGTCTACACAGTAGGGGGCTGGATAATTAATAAATGATTTATACACTGGAGGGGCAGAGAACCCGCTCCCAGTCTGGGAGCCTGGGTGCCTCACTAGTTTTAATCCAGCCAGGAATCCACTTAAGAGTCAGTGGCATTGAAGCTACACTGAAAAGATGAAGAGTTGGAGCTTGATGTCAATGACAGATAAAGTCACTACAGCCATTTGAAAGAGAAATGTCACCCAGAGGCTCAGGTATTTGGACACTTGGTCCCCAGCTGGTGGCTGTCTTAGTTATTTTTCCTACTGATGTTATAAAACACCATGACCAAGGCAACTTCTAGAAGGAAGCACTTGTTTTGGATTTACAGCTCAGAGGGGTAAGAGTCTATTACCATCATGGCGGAGAACGATGGCGGCGAGCACCAGGCATGGAGGAGAACAGCTGAGAGGTCCTATCAGGAACCACAAGCAGGAAACTGTTATGCCCAGATCTCGGGGACCCCAAAGGACCACCACAGAGACTGAATCCCACATGTAAAAGCAAAAAGCCTTTATTCTCTTCAAGCTCTGAGCTTGGTCCCTCTGTCTGTCCAATGAAGTGGTGAGAGCAGAGAGTCCTGAACCCAGGCAGGGTAGGGTTTTTATTATAGCAGAGGTTGGGGTGAGGGGATTTCCAAGGTTCACGACCCTGATTGACTGACAATTGTCTAGGGGCATCTGTAAAACAAAAACATGTGTGTGCTAGACTCAGGGACATCTGGCCACCTTGTCTAAAGGTTGGAATGTTTGGGATGTCAGGTACTTCCTCATCCCTGGGTGGATCCCTGGGTGGTGTCAGCTTAAGGCTTTTCCTGGATCTGGGGTTGCCTACCAGTAAGCCTGTCACAGAAGCTGTGTCTGGGCCCCTAAGCCTGTCATGGCAGCTGTGTGGTCACGCTGTTTGGGGCCCCTCCACAGAAACAAGTGAACTTTAAACTCTACCCCCACCCCCACAACATACAGTGACATACTTCTAACAGCAAAGCCATCTATCCCGCGCCTCCTCAGCTACCAACTGAGCAACAAGGATTAACTGCACGGCCACGGGGGACATCTCATTCAAGCCTCCGCAGGGAAGCGCTGGGAGGGGTGAGGGACCTCCAGGGGGTGGAGTTTTGCCAGGGAAATACATCACTGGAGGTGGACTTTGAGAGTGGGTAGCCCTGCCCTGTTGAGATATTTTGTTTGTGTTCTAACAAAGTCTGCCTGAGGAGCAGAGGATGGAGCTAGCCACTAGTTTACCATTGAGGTCTGGAGGTCTGTACAGACAGGAGACAGGAAGTGATATGGCTGGGTGGAGAGAGGAAGTGATAAGGCGGGTTGGAGTCGCAAGCTCCGCCCCTTTTCCGTCTGAGGAGTCGGAGAGGTAAGAGGTGACTGTGGCTGCTCCTTTGCTTCTCTGATCTTTCGGCTTTTACCCTGATATCTTTTTTTGTTTGTTTTGTTTTCAAGACAGGGTTTCTCTGTGTATCTTTGCGCCTTTCCTGGATCTCGCTCTGTAGACCAGGCTGGCCTCAAACTCACAGAGATCCGCCTGCCTCTGCCTCCCGAGTGCTGGGATTAAAGTTGTGCGCCACCACTGCCCGGCTTACCCTCATATCTGACTCCAGGTTTTTATTATTAAGACCAAGTAGGATTGCACTACACTGCCTCCCTTAGATTTCACTCTGCTTCATTCGTGTGTTTGAAGATGTGATCGCTCAGCTTCCTGGCCCAGTTGACTGCTCTTACGCCTTTCCCTTTGGAACTGTAAGCCATGTAAACGGTCTTTCATTTATGCAAAGGAATATTACTCAGCCATTAAAAATGAAATGAAATTCTCATTGCAAGGAACTAGAAAATAATTCAGACCCAGAAAGATAAATATGGTATATAGTCACTGATCTGTGGATATTAGCTGTTAAGTCATTGTTAAGCAAATTTCAATCCACATAACCATAGAGATTAGGTAGAGAGTGAGAAGCTGAGGGTGGATCTCCCTAGGAAGAGGAAATAGAATAGATAGGGATAGACAAGGCTGCAGGGTGTGGGGGACAGACTGGAAAGGGAGGATCAAACAGGGAAAGGGAAAAGAGAAGGGGTCCAGGGAGGGACTATAAGGCAGGACAGCTAAGGACCATTTGAAGGGTCCTATGGAAACCTAATACAATAGAAGCTTCCAAATAACGGGAGACAGAGCCCCAACTGGACATCTGTCACCAAATGAAGCTTCTGCTACCAGGAATGGGTTACATCTAATTGAGTTGTTGGCCAAAGGGACCCCATAAGAACCCCCAAACAACCCAGGCTATTTCCAAGACTATTGATTATTCTCCACAAACTTACAGCAAGGCCTTACTGCTGGACAACACCTACAAGACCCATTGAACATGGAGAAGTTGAGCTGGTGCTTACCTAGAGCCTTCACCCTTATGGACTAGTATTCATGGTCCTGGAAGATACTCTGCACCCTACCAAGGGACAAAGGTAAATATCAACCCAGCTACAAACCCTTCAATATACAGTGGTGACCTGCCTGCAGAACACACTGGTGCAGGGGTGGCGCAGAGCTTGAGGGAGTGACCAATCAATAATCCGATTTAAGGCCCCTTCGTGAGATGGAACCCATACCCAGTGCTTCTTGGGTGGCCAAGAACCCCAAACTAGATAGCCCAGGGACTGAGGGTATAACTAAATGCTACCGTTCTACTAAAAGAACATAGCAATAAGATGACTCCTAATGACATTCTGCTGTGCTCATAGAGCTGTGCTTGCTCATCATCGTCATCATCAGAGACGTTCCCTCCTGCAGCAGATGGGAACAAATACAGAGAGCCACAGCCAAACAATATACAGAGAGAGAACACTCAGCCCTACATGGGGTGTCTCCATCAAACCCCTCCCCTCGGGATTCAGGGAATCCCATGGACAAGGAATCAGTGTAAGAGCCAGAGGGGATGGAGGACACCAGGAGAACAAAGCCTTCTGGACGCAACAGGGCTGGTGCACAGATGAACTCAGGCAGCCTGCACCGGTCTGCACCGCATGGGTTCCTAGAGCTGAAAGGAGAAGTGGACACACGCTCCTATCCATAACCCAGGATGGCCATTTGCAAATCAAAAATTCATTTTCTCCAAGAGGGCTTCACTAGGGAAACAAACCATTCCTAAGGGTAGCCCCATGTCCAGCAGTAGATGGCCAACACCAGCATCTTTTGAGGTTCTTTGTCACATAATGTTAAGTCAGGGAGGGTTTTTTTTTTTTTCTTACCTTGTAGGCCTTTTTCATATATATTCTGTGCTTCCAATTCTGGGTTTTCATGGGATTCCTGAGTGTGAACACGTGCGCCTATGCATCTGTATGTGTTTCTTAGGCTTTTTCTTTGGCTCTTTTTCTTGTTTGGTCGTATTCCAATTTGTTTGGTTTTTTTATTTATCTTATTTTATTGTTTTTGTTTTGTTTTGTTTTGTTTTTGAGATAGGGTTTCTCTGTGTAGCCCTAGCTGTCCTGGATCTCACTCTGTAGATCAGGCTGGCCTTGAACTCACAGAGATCTGCCTGCCTCTGCCTCCAGAGTGCTGGGATAAAAGGCATGTGCCACCACCACCACTGGCTAGATGCTTGTTTTTTAAGGAGACAGAAAGAGAGTGGTCTGGATGGGAGGGGAGGGGGGGAAGAACTGGAAGGAATAGGGGAGGGGAGACCATAATCAGAATATACTGTATGAAAAAAAAAATATTTTCAATAAAAGGAAAAAATAAAACTCTCTTCCTTAAGTTGCCTTTGGTCATGGTATTTTATCACAGCAACGAAAGTAATGTAATTATTCAGATCTGGAAACACCCTCATAGATACACAGATAGAAACACCTTTCACAAGTCCAGGCATCTCCCTGTTTGAATTTTTATTTTGTGTGTGTATGTACTCATTCCCCAGGAGGACATGGCAGTGGCGGCAGCAGTGACAAGGATGAAGTCTTAGCCTTGGTGTTAGAGGCATCTCTTGGTACAGTCAACATCCAAGGCCAACCATCACATGCAGGGTGGCACAAAAGACATTATACAGGCACGTGCCATTCTGTAGCTAAGAAGCTCTTGTCATGCTGCAGATAAGTAGTTTTCCTAAGTTTGAAATTACACCTTTAATGATGTACAGAGCCTCAGTCCTCACTATGGGAAAGCATGTATCTCATGAAAGCCTCCTGGTGGGCAGGAAGCCGAATGGGAAGTGGTCGTGTTACTCAGAATATCAGCTTCTGTTCAGGGTAGGCTACTACAGGGCTTAGGCCATCTTGTGTGAAATGCCAGTCTGTGTGGCACACGCAGACAATGCTGGTTGCCAGGCAGCTATGATACACGTAGTCAGTTCCCTGTTAGGTGGACAAAAAAAATGAAGACATAAATGAATCGGTGAGAGGGAAGAAAATTTACTCCTCACGCTCTCGTCCATCTTTGATTCCTTTTAACCTGTCCCAGCATGGTCAGGTCACAGGATGGTTTTAAAGACACAGTTTGTTTGGAAATAGAGAACTCCCCATTTCTGAAAACAGGATAGAAACACTTTAGTCTTAAGCATTAAGTGCCTGGGTATTTTATATCAAAAGAAAAATAGAAGCAGTCAGTTTTGTGAGTTAACAGGAACTCTTCTCGAATCGGAGTCTACTTTGGGTGCTTGTAGAACAGTCATTTATCTCAGCCTCAAACTGCTCCTCTTCTGTTCTGATCTAGAGAGACTACAGACAACCCTGCTCAGCTCCACTACCAACAGAAAGAATTACAGAGGGAAGAGGTGGGAGCCAGCCAGCTGTGCTAATGCACACCTGTGATCCCAGCACCTGGGAAGTGGAGGCAAGAGGAGCCGGAGTTTACGACCATCCTTGGCTCAAAGAGAAGTTGAGGTCAGTCTGGGTTACGAAATACACACCAAACATGTGGCAGTGTGATGCGAAATTCGAATGCTCTAATACTCACCTGCAGCATCAGGAGGGTTAATTTCATGTGTTCTCTGGGCCACAGATTTTGGTCCGACATCATGAGTGTGCTTGTGAAGGTGGTTTTGGAGATTAACATTTGAATCGGTAATTCAGTAAATACACTGCCCCATCCCCATCCCCGGCTCTCATACAATCAGTTAAGGGCCTGAGAGAACAAAAAAGCTGACTCTCCCTAGAAAGTGATACCATTCTGGCCAATGTCTTGAGCCTGACACTGGCTTTCTTAGACCTTGGATGCTAACTGAACATTGTTGTTCTTGAGTCTGGAGCCGTGTAGCTTTTGAACTGAAACCTACACCTTTGGTCTCCCTCCAGATTACAGAAAGCAGGTCCATAATCACACAACCCAATTCCTTAAAGATATACTCCCTCCAACACACACATACATTGTATTGATTTTCTGCAGGAAAATACATGTTGAGAGAGTTTAGAAACCATGCCATGTATTTTTACATTTAAGAACTCACACTATTAAAATGGTTTATTATTATTTATCATTTATTTTTAAATATTATCAAATTTAATAAATTAATTAAAATAAAACTAACCATTATTATTTTTAAATATTATTTATTTATTATTGAAACGCAAACCACTTACATTAGGATTTGTCAAACATGTGTCTATAGGTTTCTGAAAACCTTGATGTACCAGACCGTGGAAACTCATAAACACAGATCTAGATAAGTCTCTGAGGGAGTTAGATAATAACTTGATTCCTAGTTTTAAAAAAATGCATTTGGTGAGAGAGAATTTATCACATAAGCAAAATCATCGTGAAATCAAACTAGAAATGTTTGCTATATCCAAACTTCAGAATCCCAACATTGCTGCTATAACTATGGAAGCCTGCTGATGCCAGAAATCAACTGAGAAATATAACTAGATATAGTAATGAGAGTATTTTTATCCTAAGAAGTGATGCACTTGTGGTTCTCAACCTGTGGGTCACAGCCCCCTTGGGGAATCACATATCAGGTATCTTGCATATCGGATATTTACATTACAATTCGTAACAGTAGCAAAATTACAGTTAAGTATCAATGAAATAATTTTATGGTTGGGGGGTCACAACATGAGGAACTGTATTAAAGGGTCACAGCATTAGGAAGGTTGAGAACCACTGCCATAGACTAACAAAAGTTTGCAAGAAAGCAGGCGTCCTAAGACCTTTATAGAAGCAACTCCATTTGAAATATATGTAATAAACACTTTCACAGTACTGACTTCAATTGACAAGCCTGAAATTTCCACCATGATTAAAAAACAAAACAAACAAATGAACAAACCAAAACCAACCAACCAATCAACCAACCAAATGCTGATCTGCAGTGTCCAGGGGGAGTTACTGAGAGTGAGCATAAATTACTCACCTGTGTAATTAAGTAGCATTGGTTACAGGTGATTTGGAGTAAGAAAGCAAAGACTTGCACTCACACTGGAGTTCTGGATTCCAAAGCAAGCAATTCTTATTTTAAATATTTGGTGTGAATTTACTGGCTTGATGAAATATGGACTTAGCAGGGGTAGGTTTTGTTCAGTTTACTATCAATATGTTGTAGGTGAATGATCTTTGAGAAAAGTAGAACATCAAACACCATGTTCCTGAATCTCTTTTAAAAGATGTTTAGATTTATTTATGAGTGTTTTGCTCATATGTATGTCTGCACCGTGTGCTTAGTAGTGCCCTCAATGGTCAGAAGAGGGTGTTGGATTCCCTGGAACTGGATTGTGGAAAGCTTCAAGACACCATGTGGGTACTGAGTATTGAACTTGGATCCTCCGCAAGAACAAGTGCTCTATTGTAATAGGTTCTTCTTTTTTGTTTTGTTTTGTTTGTTTGTTTGTTTGTTGTTTTTATTTTTATTTATTTATTTTTGAGACAGGGTTTCTCTGTGTAGCCCTGTCTTTCCTGGAACTTGCTCTGTAGATCAGAACTCAGAAATCTACCTGCCTCTGCCTCCCAAGTGCTGGGATTAAGCCTGGCTACTGAAATATTCTCAAGTAAAAGACAGAGCCAAGCTAGAGAATGTTCACATAGTTAATTCCCCAGCAGTACTGTAGGATATGATATGAATCAGCAAATGTCTGATTCTAGTTCTTCCTTGGGAAGCTGGTCATACAAGAACGCAGCAGATGACCAGTGTCACTGCTCATGTGGTGTGGCTTGTGGAATCCCTCTCCCTGTAGGAAGCAGTGTGGAACAGAGCACTGACGAGACCAAATGCTGTTTATCCAGCAGTGACGCCCTGCGAACGCTCGCTCCACACACAGGATCTTGTGAATAACCCTGCTGCACCACATGCACTTTTGAACCTCCCCCAGCTCTGAGGGGCTTTGTTTGCCTTTGTCTCTTGGTGATATAACCCACTGCCTTAGCACAGGTGAGCCTGTGGGTATGACATACAGAGAGGAGGCCGGAGCTCTGGGTTAGGTCCCAGATAACCACCAAAGTGAGAATCAAGAGGCTAAAGCCTTAGACATTGATCACTTTATTCTGAAACTGCTTTTCACACTACATGAGTAGGAAAGGGTTTTTTTTTTTTTTTTTCTCCCAAGAGTAACAAAATTAACAGAAAAAAAAATATTAGTGGAATTCCATGGGTGGCACATTCACAATGACTTAATGCTAAGGAAGCTGTTTAAGGCACTCTCACAGAATTCCAAATTAGGTAAAGAATTAAAGGATTCTAGCACAATAACCTCACCTTCACCCCTCCCCTGCCAAGTCAGGGTACTTGGCAAAAATCAAAAACAAAAACAAAAACAAAGCAGTACTACATTGACTCAATCTAAAACATCTTTTTTTTTTAAAGATATACAAATGGCCTTGGTGAAAATTTCCAGATAATAATGGGTTTTCAGAGCTATGTAGGAAATCTCACCAGTATATTTAATAAATGTTTATTAATTAGCACCTGTATACAAGGCACAAAGCAGGACATAAGATTTCCAAGTCTGACCACTTATGAAGGGCTCATTAGCCTAACAAAGGGTCAGAGGAACGCCCCCAAAGCATAAGCATCCCTCAGGAGACCTGAGATGCAGGCCAAGGGAAGGCAATTTGCCAGTCAGGAAGCCCATTTGATTCCATGGGTGAGAACTCTTGCAGACAACTCTTTCTCATAACCTACGAAATAAGATTCTTTGTTTTTCTCTAGTTACCTCCTAGCATGTAGAAGATAATGAGTCTCAGCCAGATCCCTAATATCTGAGGATGCGCATTATTAATAGAGCCCTAGCCTGTGACTTCTGCAGTCAATAGGAGCTCACGCACGGGTGCCTTCAGTTCAATGACAGTTGAACACCAACTTCGGAATGTACAGCAGGGGTCACTGTGACAGAAGTTTTCTTCCCTGTGTGTCTTCTCTGATGCTGAATAAGGTATGAAGGTCGGGTGAAGCCTTTTCCACATGTTTTGCACTCAAAAGGTTTCTCACCAGTGTGTACTTTCTGGTGTTCAATCAGGCTTGTAATCCTACTGAAACTTCTCTCACAATCATTGCATTGATAAGACACAGGAGTTTCAATATTTTCCCAATGGCTTTCCACCCTACTCTGACTTTCCCAGTAAGGTTCTGGAACAAAGAAATCTTTATCCCCAGTATGGGTCCTCTGATGTCTCAGGAGATGTGAGCTCCGCCTAAAGGCTTTGGGACACATATTGCACTGGTATGGCTTCTCTCCAGTGTGGATTCTGTGATGTTCAAGGAGGCTGCAGCTCTGGGTGAAGGTTTTCCCACAGTCATCACACTCGTAGGGCTTTTCCCCAGTGTGGGTTCTCTGGTGCTTGATGAGATCTGAGCTGTGACTGAAGGCCTTGCCACATTCTTCACACTCATATGGTTTCTCGCCAGTGTGAACTCTCTGATGAATGATGAGAGCTGAGCTTCCAATGAAGGCTTTGCCACACTCCTCACATTCATAGGGTTTCAATCCAGTGTGGATTCTTTTGTGTTTACTTAGGCCTGAACTCTGAGCGAAACTCTTTCCACATTCTCGGCAGTAGAACCGCCTGTTTCCGGTGGCACTCTTCTGTGCTGTCTGTGACTTGCCTTCCTGCTCACTGGCTTC